TATAGAGGAGGGATATATTTTGAATCTCAGCGACTCTTTTATGAAATAGAAATATGATATTTAAAAGCATGGATTCAGGGAGCCAGACTGCCTGGGTTTGAATCCCAGCTTTTCCATGTCCTCGTCTGGGAAGGTTACTACAGCTGGTTTCTTCAACTGTAAGATGAAGATGCTGTAACTTGTGTCTGAGAAGGCAACAGGGAGCATTTCATGAGTTGGGGTTCTGATGCCTAGAACAGAACCAGGCACATGATACACATTCCACAGATGCGGGCTGTTTTCTTTCTTTTACATTGGAGAAACAGGTGTGCAGTCAGCGACTGGCCCCATGCTCTGTTATGGGCAGAGTTGGTGCTGACTCCCAGGTCTCCCGTTCTCACTCCAGTGCTGGGTGCTGCAGGGACATCCAGAGCAGCACTGGGTGGGAAACTAGACTTTCCCTCTACTGTTGCCCTACTCCAGATAAACTGGAAATGCTACTTCTGAGCCTGAATGGCCACTGTCCACCAGGGGGGCGATTTATCAGCCCAGTTCCCAGATGAAGAATCTTTCGCAGGGTTCCCGGTTACTCTGCGCTGAACCAGTTGTCACAGTCCTGTGCTGCCATCCCCTAGTCCCGTGATTCCCAGCATGCAAGAGTGTTCACAGACCCCAGGGCCACAATCCCATAGCTGTAATTCTGAAATGCAAAAACTCTTAAATCTGAAAAATTTTTGTAACTAATTTGAATGCAAAACTTGTTCAGACCTGAACTTATTTGGTGAAAAAACACCTGAACTGACTGATATGAGAGTGTTTATTATTTGTATTCATCCCTCATGGTGTGTATATTCATACAGCTCACTGCAGACATTCTAATGTTTTTGTCTACGGGATACTGCCTAAATCTCTGGTATGTATCTGTCAGGATCTTGGCGGGAAGAGATGGGACACTCAGTAAAGGGACTGTCTATAAAGGTGTGGGTGGGGTGAGGGACCAATTAGGGATTTTGCAGGAGGGAAGACAGAGGGATTTCTTCATGGACCAAGCGCTGTTACCACCCCTAGATCTGAAGGGCCAGGTAGAGGTAGTGTTACAGGACTCCAGAGAGACCAGCAAGGGAGAGAGCTGCAGTCAGGAACTATGACTTTGTAAAAGGAACCAGACAACAGCAAAACAGCAGAGAAGAAGCCTGGGAAACAAACACCCAACCTGGTTTTCCCTCCTCCCTCTCTAGATCATCTGGTGGCACCTCTCTTTGGGTGCCCCTTTCCTGAAGGTAGAGGCAAGGGAGCTCATGGATGCAGACACCAGGACTAAGCAGGGTAGTGAGGGTAGCAAGTGGGTCTGGAGGGCAAACAGAGGCTATCTTGCATAGAGTATTCTATAGTATGTAATATTAGAGGCCTGGTGCACAAAAATTCGTGCACTCCGGGGGAAGGGGGGATCCCTCAGCCCGGCCTGCGCCCTCTCTCAGTCCAGGAGCCCTCAGGGTATGTCCAACTGATGGCTTAGGCCCATTCCCTGCGGGGGAGCAGGCCTATGCCTCAGTCCGGCCTCCCTCTGTGGGAGGCAACCAGCGGGCCAATCAAGGGATGGCGCTGGTCCCCCATCACCCCTCCATCGCCACTGTTCGCTGCAGCCACCCGCCCCCTGCTCACTGGAATGCACCTTGGCTGGTCTGGCACCCCCTGCTTGCCGGCCCCGCTCCCCACTGACCCATCTTTCCACTGTTCGGTTGATTTGCATATTATGCTTTTATTATATAGGATGTGCACTCTACCGTCTTTATGAAACCTGAAAACTCAAGAATACTTACAGAGTTGTATTTTATTAAGCGTATATCCCCAGTTGAAAAATATTAATACATACATGTGAAACACTTTTTTTTTTTAGTTTGCAGTGTCATATAGACTCATGAACCATGTATAATAATAATTCCTTGGCTACTCTGAAAGAACAGAAATATTGCACTAGAGAGTGCTATTTCATCCACTGATTCATTATTAGATTCATATGTTCATTCATTGAACACATATGCCTTATTGATTGCCTACTCTGCAAAACACGATGGGCTCTGTGACATAATGACAAAAATATGACACTAGCCCTCCAATAGCTTACAATGTAAGAAAAGGCACTAACTTGTTGAAAACAGTAATACAATCTTGGGTTGGCAAATAGTTTTGTCTCAAAGTTATCTTGCAGCTGGGGACTCAGTTTTGAAGAATTTTGTGGGCACATCTGGGCTCAGTGGCAAAAACCAGTCTGATGGAATCATTACGTGTGAGGTGGGCACAGGAGCAGAGCGTGTACACACTGCGATCCGGGTAACTGTGCTTTACTCCACTGCAGAATGCGATTATTCCTACCACAGAAGTAAGAGCAATTTTCACAAGAGGCCAGAGGAGGGCTTACTTTGAATTAGGAATACCTGAGAAGCCTTTATGGCAGTGGTTCTCAACCTGTGGGCCGCGACCCCTTTGGGGGTCGAACGACCCTTTCACAGGGGTCGCCTAAGACCATCAGAAAACACATATATAATTACATATTGTTTTTGTGATTAATCACTTTTTTAAAATTATGTTCAATTTGTAACAATGAAATTGGGGGTCACCACAACGTGAGGAACTGTATTAAAGTGTTGCGGCATTAGGAAGGTTGAGAACCACTGCTTTATGGGGTTAATTAGATAGAGGGTTCTTAAGGGGAAAATGACAGGCAGGAGCAAAGGCAAACTAAGAGTGCTGGACAGGCTAGTGTGAATGGGCCATAGGGTCTTGGGAGCGAGAAAGTTTTTGGTGACCAAAACATTAATGAGAAGCTGTTCTAACAAGTTCCAACTTTATTTTGTAGTAAGTGGGTTACAGCTGAGGACACTTGAAAAGGGGCGGGCTTGTGCTTTAGGGAAATCACTCTACCAGCACTTGGAATAGGGGCAGGGTTTAAGGCAGCCATGGGCAAACTAAGGCCCGCGGGCTGGATCCGGCCCGTTTGAAATGAATAAAACTAAAAAAAAAAAAAAAACCCTTTTATTTAATGATGTTTACTTTGAATTTATATTAGTTCACACAAACATTCCATCCATGCTTTTGTTCCGGCCCTCCGGTCCAGTTTAAGAACCCATTGTGGCCCTCGAGTCAAAAAGTTTGCCCACCCCTGGTTTAAGGGGAGGTGATTGAAAGTAATCTATGTCAAGGAAGGATTGCCATCGCCAGCCAAGAGATGGTGATAGGAGAACAAAGACAGTAGCAGTGGGAATAGGAGGAACGGTTGGCAGACATTTTGAGCAAGGATTGACAGATTTGATAATCGATTGGAGAGAGGAGTCAAAGTGACTCCAGGGTGTGTAAAGCTTGAATATACAGGAGAAGAAGAAGAATGGTTATGATGCCAAGCGTGAGGGGGTACTACTATGGTGTTGGACATCTTGAGGCAGAGTTACGGCCAAAGTGCATTCAAGGAAGTACCCTGCAGGTATTTAAAATTGTGAGTCTGTAGTTCAGAAAAGAAAAAAAAAATTCCAAGGAGAAATCCCATACCCATAAAAAGTTCCACTACTATAATTCCTATGGTAGTTCCAAAATTCGAAAAGCTGTAAAAAGTACACCTTTTAAAAAAAAGTTTGGTGCCAAAACTTATTTGGTGATAAACCTGACCTGAATTGATGTGAGACCAATCATAGACTTTATTGCACTTAGGGTCAATTCTTTTTGCTAAAGAAAATATGTTTAAATACAGAGTGCTGTCCCTAATTGTACCGGGTGGAGGGTTTCTATGTTAAATGGTGCATGCACCACGTTACTTTTAAAATGAAAAAATATTAATAGATTCTGAAACGTATCTGGTTCCAAGGTTTTAGATGAGGCATTGTGGACATGTATCCATACTTACACTATGTCTTTATTATTTCACATTTTAAGAAAGTATTGTCATAGTTTTAATGTATTTGGCATTAGACACAGTAGGTAAACAGATGTCTCTTTGTGTCTGCAAGTTTTGGGGAATGAAACAACCTTTGCAGTGCCTTTTCCATACACGGATGCTTGATAAGTTTCTTTAGTCAAAAAATTCTGGTAATAATCCCTCAGAGAGTTGTTTAAAGAGCTAATGTACAGGGTCCAATACATGAGTATTTTGGTAAATGTTAGTTATTGTCCCATCCTTTCTTTAATCAACAAAACATGTTTTAAAAAAGCATTTTGGGTGAAAAATGTTTTGTTTTCCCAACCTCTGAAATTGCAGTGAAAACAAATGTCTCCCTGGATGGCTGTAAAGGAAGTAGCAGAGAGAACCATGTTTCTTGAGAACTTAGCAGGTCGTTGGTGCTTTTAATGCCCTGAGAAGAAAGAATATTCTTTTCCCGTTCACAGATGCAGAAGCAGATTCTGAGATGTTAAGTAGCATAACAGGCCATCCCTCAGCCAGGGGTGCACTAACTCCTCTTTCCATTCTACCCAGCTCCCAGGGGAGTGTAAGAGACAGCAGGTAACACACCTTGTCAGGGTGTGAAAGACAGAGTCAAAGTAGGCTCTTTCCAGCCAGCCACCCAGCCTCCTCAACCTCCCATCAAGACCTCTGGCAGTAACAAGCTTCAGCTCACGAAGCCTGATTTCCAGGCCAGCTGAAAGCGGTCAGTTCATTTGATCAGGACTGGGAGGAGGAAAGGGATGTGGGAGTGAGGTCAGAGCCTGGTTGTTGTGGCCTTGAGGGCGAGGGAGGGACATGTTCTGCCTGCTGTAAGCGGGAATTACCTGCCCGAAAGGAAAGCAAGTTTATTGTAACTTGACTAAGTACACAGCAACGTAATCCGGCTCTTCCATTTTTGATGTGGATGCTGTAAATGAGAGTTGCATTTTCTTCCTTTCTTCCCAGACCACAAGCGTGGACCTGGCTGCTCTCCTGCTCAGCCCGGGCTCCCGGGCAGGGTTTCTTTCTCTCACTCCGGGCTACCAGGCAGGAAATGTTCCTAGCGATCGGATAAGCCTCCCGGTGGAAGGGGGGAGGTGAGAAAAGGAAAAGGAAAAGAAACAAAGCAAGAAAAAAACTTGACTAGAGCAGCTCGCCCGAGCCCTGAAGGATCACAGCCGGTTTCCAGTTTCCTAGAGACAGGGATCCCACCCCAGCACCTCGTCCTCAGGGCCCCCACCCCCCTCCAGGGCTCCGGGGCGTGTTTTGCAATCTATGCTAATAGGGCTGCCCCGCGGGCGGGGCCGGCTGCCCTGACAGCCCGGAGAGAGCCCCCGGGAGCTGGATGGGCCCTGCCTCCCCGCTGGTGACGGGGTCCCGGTGCTGGTCCATGCTGGTCCCCGCCTTTGTTCTCGGGCGGGAGCCAGGACATGCGCGGCTGACGATGGAAGTGGAGGACTCGGGCGGCGTGGTGCTGACCGCCTACCACTCGTACGCCCGCTCCCAGCCGCCCAGCTCCGAGCCGCGCTGCGCGCCCCGCGCCGCCGCCAGCCACCCGGGCAGCAGGTACTGAGCCGCTCCGGGGGGAGCAGGGCTTTCCGGGTGGGGGGTTCCGGCTGGCCCCGGGGTTCTCTGCCTGGGCATCTCTCCACCATCCCTTGATTGTTGTTGCAAGTTTTGGTGGACATGGGAGTGAGCCTGCTGTTCTTTGCATTGTTCTTGATTGGAAGTGGGAAGTGCACGAAGTCGCACCCGCCACGGCTGAAGGCAGCAATCGGTAGCAGAGTTGTGTTCTTGAGACAACTTGGTGATAGCAGGCATCTGCCTCGTCTTTGCCAGGTTCACCCGTGGAGGTATTGGAGAATTTTTAAAAAGGCATTTAAAATGAAACACAAGCAGAAAGTAAAGAATTTACAATACATTATCCTAAATCCTCGAATCCTATCCAGAGCTTCTTAGGTAACTCCATGACACCTGAACGAATGCGCACTAGATGGAGAGATTCTCCAAAAAGTAAATCTCAGTAGACGTTTATAAACAATTTTATTTATAGATTTTTTAAAAACAACAACAACAACAACTTTCAATTGTATAAATACATTGGTATTATTTCATTATTGCTAATGTTGACTATTCTTTAAATACAATAGTCAAAAGACCTATAACCATCTCATTATGTGCAGTTTAGATGTAATACATCAGGAATCTGTGTTAAATTATTCTATCAGTTTCCATCTATTTGATGCAAGATCAAGGCCAATGAAACTTCCATGAATGAAACCAAAGATGTTAGACTTTTAGGAAGTTTCTGTGGGTAGACAAAGGTAGTTCACTGATAAGTAGGATGGTTTGATATCTGACACATATTTAGGGGAAATTTTATTTGTTTAAATGAGGTTATTTTGCAGCTATGGATCCATTGATGGTTTTCTTTACAACTGGGGAGTTTGCATATTTATTTTAAGTCATTAATTTTTTTCTCATGCTTTTTAGTTATGTGATAATGATTACTTGTTTCCTAATTTAGTGGACTTGTGAGGCTTTCAACAGATTGTGACTTTTATTTCAAGGAATATCTTTTTGGCTAGTATCCATGACAAGAACAAAATGTCTTGGCATGAGATCTCTTTTGGGCTTGACTAACAAAGAAAATATTGTTTCTTCCAAAAAAGTGCAGGTTGAGTAAAATCTAATTTTTATATATAAAGACAATGAGAAAATAACATTTTCCTTCCAGTCTTAGGGGCTGTGCGCATTATTTTAAAGGCTGCTTGAACATACACACTTGCATTTGTCTTTAGGGTGTTTTCTAAGCATAATCATTGACTCTAATTACTTAAATCATGAGTACGAAATAGATATGAGTGATTTGATGAGAAGCTGGGGACCAGGTTTGTGCATTTTTAGATACAACTTGGCGGTAGGAAGCATATGCCTCATCTGGGATAGCTGTCCTGTCTATAGCTCCCAGCAGCTGTCCAGGAGCAAGAGCCAGATTGTGCCATTTGGGCTACTTGAAACTACATCCGTTTCCAAAGCAAACTGGAGGACAAGTTCCATTAACTCAGCATGTGGTCTTATGGAATGATAATACATGAGAGCAGAAGAGTTGTGTGTCAGAGCTAGCTAGCGTTTTGCCACGCCAGTTGCCAGTTAGCTTTATGTTGCTCCAAGTTTGCATTTTTGGTGACTGCCCTGTACCCTCTCTATAGGGACCTTTGTGCCACTCACCCTCTGATGCAGGAGATAGACGACCCCTGCCCCTGTTGCAACTAAATGACTAGAGAATGGCTTAATTCCTTGGTTCCCAGTAACAGCAATCAAAAGGGGGCTCCTGTCTTTAGTGGAGCCAGAGGACATCATCAATCATGAGTCAGATAACAGAAATAATCAAGCCCAAGTTATTAACCTTTGACTCACTAACTACTGATCAATACTTCCTTTCAAGCCAAGGAGCAAGATCTTATTGTTCTCCTTATGAAGAAAGCTCTCTCTCTCTCACACTCGCTCTCTCTCTCTCTCTCTCTCTCTCTCTGACCCTTTTCTTTAAATTGCTTACATATGTGTGACATATTTGTGGAGTAGTGACCAGTATGGCACTAGGAAGCATGGACTATTGTATCTAACTTCCTAAGTTTCATTCTTTAGCTCTGGGCGGCATGGGCTCAATTCAAAGCAAACCATCTCCTTATTTTCCAGTCCTCCACTCCATCTGACTTTATGTGCTTTTGTTTTCGTTTGGCCTGTTTCTCCCACGAAAATATTATCCTCTGTTGCTTCTCTCTCCCCTTTCTCTTCACTATTGTATCCCAAGTGCCTAGAGCAGTGTCTGGCACATTGTAGTAGTTCAGTAAATATTTGGTGAATAAATTAATGAATTCCTACCACAAATATAAAATGGCAGGGTTTGTAACAGCAGAAGGCAACCTTTTTGCACCTACTATGTGCCAGCAGCACATTAGGGATTAGGTATTCAAAGATAAATGAAACCAAGTCCCTTTACCTTTCAGACCACTAGGATTTTTAGAAAAAGTTTGAAATAAGCAGTAACATTTCAAAATCAAGACACAAATCTAGACTGCCACTTTCAGAGAGAGAGAGAGAGAGAGAGAGAAACAGAGAAAGGAGAGAAAAGAAAGAAAATCAAATGATTCAGCAGCTCAGGCCTCGGCTGCGCCTGCCAGCACTCGCTGAAGCTGAGTAAAGGCTGCTCAATCGCAAGCTTCTCCCTGTTAATCTTCAACACTGAAGCAGGGTGTCCATTGCAATTTCTTTCGGGCCTGCCCATTTTGTTTTATTAAAGTAAGTATCCAGTATAAAGCACCAGTTACTCAGGCTTGGGTCAGACTCCACCTACACCCTTTACTGCCATGTGGCCTTAGGCAACTTGCTTCAGCTGCTTGGAACAGTGTCTGACCCAAGGAAACATCTAATTGTTAGCTGTATTATTACTATTATCACTTTTAACCACAGTGTTGATGTAAGGAGAAGAGTAAGATAGTCTTGGTACCAATCCCTACAACTTGCTCATGCAGGAAAGAGACTCAAGAATACTAAGTATTTGTTGGGAAGAGAAGTAATTCTTTTTCTTTTTTAACATTCTGTCCTTTACATTTTATCCTGTAAAGAAAAACGAGAATGAAGGCTTATACATTCTCAGTTCTGTTACAACAAATGGTTGGAATTGTCTTTAGAATCATGTGCCTTTTATAGAGGCTAAGCTTCTACACCCTCATTCAGAGTCCATGGTGAACATGTTGACATACATACAAAATAACTTCACTTACAAAGTGAAAAGCAGATGAAGAGAAAGCTGAATATCTTGTTTCAAAGATCTTCTAAGCTATATACAGATAAGATATACCACATTTTTCTGTGAAGGTGTAGTGTTAAATGGCCATGAGTATTTCTTATGTTTATCTCATTATGCCATAAACTTCCTGAGAGAGGATAAAAATAGAAGAAGAAAAGAACCAACTCTTCCTCAAAAACAAACATAGAAGCTAACCAAGGTTATCCTGGACATTCTAATTCTACAACAATGTTAGACTTTTGTAAAGGGGATGTGGTTTCCTCATATAACTAGAATGAGAATGATTCTATTAAAATGAAAATGATGACTGGAAAGTAACGATTTTGTAGAAAAGACCAAGTTTAGGAACTTTTAATGACATGTTAATTGGTACTTTCCTGGATTGAAATTAGTTAAAAGACATTTCTGTGAGTTTATGGGCATATACATAAGCACAGCAGTTGGACTTTATCTAGAGGATTCAGAAAGAATAAGGGAAATAGGAGTCTTAAGAAAGAAGATATTTATAGGTCACTATGTTAGGATGAAATCAGAGTTTGTGTCTCCGGTTTCTCTTTACAGTGGGCCCCTGCTGAGTGGGGTGCCTCCCTGCGTAGAGCGAGTGGAAAACATCTGGCACATTTCCTTTGATCCTGTCGTTTGCCCAAACATTTGGCCAGTTGCTTTGTCCATTTTTAACCTACTCTGTCCTCCCTGGTCATTAATCCTTCATGTGTCCACAAAATTTAGAGAACTTAGGATGTTACAGAGTCACTTTCATGAGGATAAAGATGACAACTTTTTCTTAACTTTTATTTTGATACAGTATTAGACTTACAGAAAACTTTCACAGGTAGTTCAGTGAGCTCTGTGTAAGCTTCTCCCAGCTTCCTCTATGTTAATATTTTGCAAAACCACAGTTCCATTATAAAACTGAAAAATGAATACTGGTAAAATGCTATTAACTAAACTGTAGACTTTGTCCTGGTTTCACCGGTTTTCCACTAGCATTGGAATTCAATTCTGTTGTAGAATTGAATCCAGGATGGATTGACTCATGCCTCCCAAACCTCCACCAATCTGTGACTGTCTATGCATGTCTTTTATGACGTTGGCGCTTTTAGAGTACTGATTGGTTGTTTCGAAGAAGTCTCTCAACTTGGATTGGTCTGATATCCTATCGTGATTAAACTGAAGGTATCCATTTTGGGTGAGAGTTCTGCAGAATGATGTTGGGCCCTTCTCAGTAACATCATATCAGGGGTACGTGATGTCATATGTCTCACTAATGTTGATGTTAACTTCAATCACCTGCTTAAGGTGATGTCAGCCAGGGTTCCCTATTGTAAAACTATAATTTTCCTCTGTGATTAATATATGAGAATGATCATGGGGGAGTTACTGTACATCTTTAAAAAGTCAACCAAATAAATGTAAAAAGGCATCAATAGTCATTTAACCTACGTTTCCCCCCCACAGTTTTGTGATAGAATGGTTTACTTTTTTTTCTGGTCTGAGTTCGTGAAACCTATAAAAAGAAATTCTCTAATTTTCAAAGTTTCATCATTCTTTGGAAGGAAAATTTTATTATTGGATTAAAAGAAAACTAATCACAAAGATGCTAAGTGAAATTCTGCCTCAAGAGGGTAGTTATTAGCTCTGGCCAGTTCTGCTTAGTGGTTTGATTCCTGGTCAAGGGCATGTACCTCCCATCTCGGTTGGCTTCAGGCTTGATCCCTGCCCAGTCAGGACACATGCAAAAGGCAACCAATCA